GCTGTCAACAGCGCGTCATGCTGTCAACAGCGCGTCATGCTGTCAACAGCGCGTCATGCTGTCAACAGCGCGTCATGCTGTCAACAGCGCGTCATGCTGCTCGCCTGCGTTGCAGGAGCGGACTGTAATAATCCTGTTATAATCAGTAGAGGCAACCTGTTTAATTAGATAAATAATTCATTTGGTGGGTCAAAATGGGTCAAAAATTAGTCGTCTGATAGGTGGGTCAAAAACAAGTGGTCAGGTGGGTAAAAAATTAGTCGCCATTCTCATCCCGGCAGTTAGGCTTCCTGTATTATATTAGTGTGCAAATCTTAGTTTTTCATCGCAGTACAAACGATTTTGTCAACTAATTTTAGCTCAAACATATATTTTGTCTATCCCCTGAGAGTGTGAGTAGCTCACAAACAACTGAATTCTCTCGTTATGCTGGAACATAATGAGATATAACTAGACAAAATGATATAATTTTGAATAGAATATATATATATATATCTATATATTGAATAAATATATAACTGAAAAAAACTCGGCCATCACCGCTGTTAGAGTATGAGATGGCTTGTCAATATTTGTGTAGGAGTGGAGAATTCGAATTTATGATATGATACGATATGATATGAAATGATGTGATGTGATATGATGTGATATGATATGATATGATAGATGAGTAGAATTCATCCGGTGGTAATATTTCCTTTACTGTGAAATAAAATTATCAAGAAAAGGCCTCTTGCACCCTAAAATGTAGCAAGGTATTAACGCAAGAAATTTAAGTGGTTCAGTCCCCTCAGGGGGGACTTTTAACATGTGTCTGTGCTCGTTAGAAGTCCTATGGCATTTCGCGCTCCTAGGGGATTGTTCCTGGGCGCCCCACCGCTGAGCTCGCGATGTCTGACTGCAGGTCTCAGTTGTGAGGATAAGTTATTGAGTAGATAGGATTCCTTACATTGAGTTATTTTGTAGGTAGGGTTCCTTACATTAACTTATTATGTCGGTAGGATTCCTTACATTTCTCTTCTCTGTTTCTCTTGTGCGGGCGGCCGACGTCCCGTGTAAGCGACCTCTTGTTCGAGTGTCTTCGTTTCTGTTGCTTTTCACCTGTCCCTCCTTGTCACTTCGTCTCTTTGAGATGCTAACGCTGCTTCCTTCGAGCCAGCTTCAGCGGGCTGGACAATTGAGACCTTCCGCCTCTTGTGGGTGATGATTAACTTGAGATTTTGAATAACTGAGACCTTCCGCCTTGCTGGCGATGTTATATTTTGACCTCCGGTGCGAAATAGCTTGATAGCTGAAGCGCTAGCAAACCATCATACTACTACTACATACTACTACTACTACCACTTAAGTGGTTCAAAATTTATTTTTTGAACTGTGTGTCCTATGCAATATTGAATGCTGCGTACCAAGCATTATTGAAAGATTCTGCTGAAGCAAGTATTGAATGACTCGTCTTAAGCATTTCTGAATGATTCACTCTACGTATAGGGAGGTTTTAAATGTTTCATTCTACTATCAAAAATTGAATAATTCATTCTTTTAGCTAGTATTCAATGATTCATCCTCTAAGCAGGTATTCAGCGATCATCCTAAATATTAAAATATATCGCGAGACCAATCTGAAATTTGTCGCGCTTAAACACGGGCATTTAATTTGAATCGTTGCATGACGTGACTCGCAAATGTACTATGTTTGAGAGACATCAAATTATTGAGAGGAAATTGCGTTTAAGAACCTTCTCTTTTGATTCGCAAGACCGAAAAATTAGCTTTTTCACAGACACTTACGTTCTGGTCGAACAAAATTTTTCGAAGTAAATTCGAAAAGTTGATGAGCAAAATTTCAGTCTTCATGACGTTGCAGATGATTTCTAGATTTTTACTTTTCGTGACATTGGTCCGACCATGGTACTAGTTCAAACATGAGTCCGGTGGACTGGTAAGTGTCCGGGTATTAGTTACTTGTTCTGGGTCCCATAGCGGTGGAACGTTCTGGTGTGAGGTATAGAGTATAGTCACTACTCACTAGCTCCTTTGGGTCTGGGGCCCGGGCGGGCCGGGCCATCCAATGCATAGGCTAGCTTACTTTTTGCCGAACTATACGCTATCTTGCAGGCGCTTGTCATCATCTCTGAGAAGGCACCGCACCGGCGTGGTGCCGTGCTGACTGCTGGGTGGTGTGCACTTACTGGTTAGTGGTTACTGCACTAGCCTCTGAGTCTGACTCTTCAGTCTTCACTCTAGAGAGTAGACTCTAGTCTCCATGACTTCACTCTAGTTTCCAGGGGAGGGGACCAGGTCAGCACTGAGAACTGCAATTCGTAAAAACTCCAAGCTCCTGTTGCAGTTGCACTGTTACTTGCACACTTGACACTTGTAGTCTTGTTATTCTCGTACTGTCATACATTATACATAACATATTTATTATAGTACCTACAGTCCTACAGTAGATTGAGAGCACTTGCTAGCTCTGCTCTGTAGTGTGCAGTTGCCACTTGCCAGTCAGCATATTCTGATGCATTCACCAGTCACCTGTTCACCAAACTCTGTCACTGCTCCCCATACCCAGGATGGTGCCGTTTTCTGCGGATTAATCCGGCGTAAACGAGACTCCAAGCCCTTCTACTGGCGTACAACGCGGCGTACAAAGAGCTAAAATAACGTTATTGGCGCACACGCCGGCGTACGTCCGCATCTGGCTTGTC